AAAAATTTGTTGGGTTATACAGAAGTCATCATCTGAGCTCAAAATGTAGTCCAGACTCCCAGAGGTTGCCAAGATTTTTTCAGCAGTCTTGGGGTCAAAACTATTTTCATGATGTTGTCTTTTTACTCTCATTTCTTCCGTCATGCATAGTGGTCTCCTAGGATTATGTATGTGCAGTGTTGCAAGATTCAATTTCAGACTAAATGCAGAGGCAGATCTGAGAATGTAGTTGTCTATTAAATCAAATGGTAAGGGGATTTGCAAAAAAATGTATAGCAATGCTACTTTTTTCAATGTGGTTTTTTCCTGTTGTTTTGGAAAATATAGCTATTTCCATTTTTAAAAAGTAATTTATGTTCAATGTAATGGGCTTTTTAAATGAATTAATAAATTTTTTTTAAATTTCTGAAAGACATCAATAAATATAAGCCCCATAATCAGAAATTCTCTGGGCTTCTCAATAATTTCTAAGAGTATAAAAGCATCCTAAAACCAAACAGTTTAAGAATCACTGATCTAGATAGAAGAGGCAAGGCAATTCTTCAAAAGAAATTATTTCCTGATCCTAACAAAGAGCTTACAAAGGGTTCATTCCAAAGGATTTTGTATAACTAACGTGAGTAGTAGGCAAGAGATAAAAGTTGCCAGAAAAATACAGGGCAGGGTGCCTGGGTGGCTCAGTCGGCTGGGTGTCTGCCTTCAGCTCAGGTCATAATCCCAGGGTCCTGGGATCAAGCTCCGCATCGGGCTCCCTGCTTGGCAGGAAGCCTGTTTCTCCCTCTCCCACTCCCCCTGTTTGTGTTCCCTCTCTTGCTGTGTCTCTCTCTGTCAAATAAATAAAATCTTAAAAAAAAATACAGGGCAATATTTGAGACATACATACTTATACCAAAAAAATTACTCACTGTTTATCTGATACTCAAATTTACCTAAGTGTCCTGCTTTAGGTTTTGGGTTTTGTTTTTTGTTAAATCTGTCAACCCCAGCAAGACATTTGTGAAATGTGGAAGGAAGAAAGAAAAAAGGAAATAGTGGGAAGCCTGCATGGCTGGCTCAGTCAATGGAGTATGTAACTCTTGATCTCAGGGTTGTGAGTTCAAGTCCTACACTGGGTATAGAGATTACTTAAAAATAAAATCTTAAAAAAATTTAAAAATAGAGGATTTAAAAACAAAAGAAAAAAGGAAATAGAGAAAACTGTTAGACTCACAATAAATTCCTGGCTTTCCATTATTTCTTCTGAAATTATAAACTAGTCAGGTCCAGAAAATAATGGTGGTTATTCAATTATTTATACGACCTAAAATAAAAATAGACAAAGAATATTCAACCCTGATGAAAAGCATATCGAATACGACTGTTTCCCACAAACTCTTGACAGGAGAGAGGAATCTAAGAGTTCTAAGACTATGTGATTACCAAGGGAGACCCAGTTGTAATCAAATTATCTGATACTAAATACAAAATAAAAGAGTGACCCCACCCTGTAGAAAGAGAATTTTGCCAAGTAAAGAGAAAACTAAATAAAATGTATAAAATAATTAGTAGTGTGCTAAGCTTTTTTCCAAATGCCATAACATGTATCAGAAAACCATCCCTCTTCCCCCAACATTTGAGTTCCTTACGGAAAGAGCTTCTATTTTCCAATTGCTATGGCCACCACAAGATGGCCCCCTTGCGTTTTGAATTTTTCCTTTTATATCACAGTATCCAAGATCTAATACACAAATTTCCTCTGCAAGGAATAATCTTTTCAATACCACTGCAATGAGTACTGTATTTATCCTATGCTACTGGATAAAATTGTTATTGTGGGCAAATTTGGAAATCAAAAATTACTGATGGTGAACTGATTACTGATGGTGAACCGAAGAAGTAAATGGAGATGCCAAAAAAAAAAAATTTTTTTTTTTTTCTTAAGTAGTGGTTCCAAAGACATGATCCCTGGACCAACAGCATCTAGTTAGAAATTCAAGTTCTTGGGTCCTGCCCCTGACCTTTTAAATCAGAAAGTCTGAGGTTGGACCCAGTACTTAAATGGAGATGCCAAAAAAAAAAATTTTTTTTTTTTTCTTAAGTAGTGGTTCCAAAGACATGATCCCTGGACCAACAGCATCTAGTTAGAAATTCAAGTTCTTGGGTCCTGCCCCTGACCTTTTAAATCAGAAAGTCTGAGGTTGGACCCAGTACTTCGTTTTAACATGTCCTGCAGGTGATAGTGATACATGCTCAAGTTTGAGAACACAGGGCTAAAAGACCTAGGATGATTCAATAAAACTATAATTTGCAATTCTGGATTCAATTCCCCCTTCATACATACAAGATATACCACATACATATTATTTATAAATTACATGTATTTATTTAGTACTTCCTTTAGCATTTGCCAGACACTGCTAGGTTGAGGTACTATAATGAACAAATACTATTTTTAATCAGGGACTTTCCAGTATAGCAGGCTGATAAACAGTAATTACAATAAAACATGAAAGAAAAAAGCACAGGAAGGGACCCAATTCGGTCTATGGCATCAAATAAGGCTTCCCAAAGAACATGTCTAAGCTGTAAGCTAAAATAACTATAACCGAAAGAAAATGCCAGGAATGTATTTCCAAAAAGGAATCAATATAAACAAGGGCCTATGAAAGACAGAGCAAGGCATGACCAAGGAACTCAGTACAATTAAGGGGTCAATGTAAGATAGTGAATAGTGAGAGAGAAGACTGAAAAAATGAGCAATAATATGAGTCAGAGGGCTTTCTATGCTATGCTGAGTTCTTTGAACTTTATAAAGGAAGTACGAACGGTAGGGTTTTAAGAATAAGATTACATAATCTGACTTGGGTTTTACAAAGATTGCACTGGTTGCTAAAATAGGAGAGATAAGGGATCAGGCAAATGAGATATGAATACTTGCCCCATAACATAGCTCACAGGACAGGACACAGGCCTACAGAGGCACTGCCTTCCAGAGATAAAACTCCCATATTCCATATCCCTCCCCTCAAGCCCAAAGGAATTGCTAAATGCCTAATGAATGCCAAGAAGATAACAGAGGTCCAGGGAAACACGTCATTCACTACTACTTTTAGAGAAACTTGCTCCCAACACTGAATGTGTTGGACATTTTACATCTGTATGAGACTACATGGTGTAGGCACAGTGTTTGCCATGTGGCAGTTATTGATATAAGATCTCTTTAATAACAGCTATCATTTATTCAGTGTAATTTTATGCTAGACACCTAACATGCTTTAAATGCTCACAACCTTAGGGTATAGATACTATTTTTTACATTTTATTACAAAAAAGGAAACTAAGGTACATAATAGTATGTAATTTGCTCAAGATCACAAAACAAATAAATGGCAGATTCAGAATTCAAAACTAAGTAGTCAAGAGGTCCCTGGTTGGCTCAGTCTGTAGAGCATGCAACTCTTGATCTCCCAGTCATGAGTTCAAGCCCCATGTAGGGCATAAAGTTTACTTAAAAAAAAAGAAGAAATTTTAAAAACTAAGTAGTCTAAATTCTGGTGCTCATACTCACAAATATGACACGACTATTGAGTACGTAGTATATCAGGCAAAGTTTTGGACTACTTTGTATTATATATATATACTATATGTTACATATATATAATACTACATATTACATATTTGTATTACGTATATATAATTGCATATAATATTTGTCAATCTCAAAATCCTGAAGAGTAGATATTATCACAACATACAGATTACTAATCCAGTATTTACTAATTTAAGATTACTTATATTGTTTAGGACCTGCAAAATAAATTCCCCATTGTTTTCCTAAATTAGAGATATTACTTGCAGGGCTTACAATTTAAAAGGAATTGTGAAGATCCATATCCTCATAAGTGGTAAATTAGATTATAATAAAATAAAGACTAGCTAAAACAAAAAAAGGCTAGCTTTATTTTAAAATATTTAGAAGAGGTCTAAATTCCTACATTCGAAGGACAGTCAATAGTCCTTTTTTACCATTAAATAGGAAAAATGGTATTGGCTAAAAAATGACATATTTAAGTGCAAATATAAAAAAATTTCTTAAAGTCTTCCTCTAGCCACATCAAGTGTTCACCCACCTCTAACGCGCGGAAGTTTAACGTACAAAGTTTTTAAAGCGGTATGAAGACCTCAGATGTGGTAATTATATAACCACAGACATGCACACATACCCCCCCAACCATATATATTCCCACACGTCCTTACGCTGCTTTATACATTCATATATAAAATTTGGTGTTCTCAACAAAATATGAGCCATTCTTCCTTTTAAGATGTTTTTGGTCTTTTTGTTTTGGAACAAGCAGGACCTTTAGAATCCCTAAATGGTTCACAGATTTAAAAGTTCCAGAGTCTCGAACCCAATATTCTGTTAAGAAGCCATTCAGTCCAAAAAACCAAGAGAAGCCAACATTTGCCAAAATAATAATTACCATGACTCTGTGTAACCAAATGGCAATGAGACTTGACCCTCTGTCAGTCCTAAATGCAAACACCAAAACCCTCTCTGGTCCTTACACTTAACGCGGAAACTGCAAAGCAGAGGCTGGGGAAAGCGGTAGAGACAAGCCACCAATTTTACAGAGATTCGGAGCAAGCTGTGACTGTCACTATCCAAACCTGGTTCCATATAGCACCAGCAACGGTCCGCTTCTGACGGAATAGTCTTCCAACCCTTTGCCCTAAATTGCGACGCCTCCTCTCGCTCAAATCCCTTTGCTTATACACCCCCACTCCGAGGAAACAACTGACCTCACCTGTCCCTAAAAGCCACTTTCGAATTTCTCCCGCGAAAGACTGTGACGTCATTAACCTGGGACCGCACCAGATCAGGACCCAATACTCAGCCCGCCCACCAGAACCGGCGTTTTCAAACCGCCAATCAAACTTTTCATTGTCTGCGAGCTTCCTTGGCCAGCCGGGTAATCCAACGCCCCGCCCCCAGCGCCAGCCCACGCCCGTGACGTAAGCGACGGACGCACCGTCCCGTGCTCGTCTTTTCCAAGGCGTACGGGAGAGTGGTGTCGCTCATCCTATGACGCGGAAACCAGGACTACAAGGATCTGGAGACGAAAAGGTTGAAGGACGCCATCACCGGCCCAGTATTTTGGGAATTGAACGGAGTAAGTTCCAAGTAGACCGTAGATAGTGTCGCTCAGGTTGACTGAGGTTTCATTTCCTCTGAGTCCTTTTTAACGCAGTCCATTCTTTCTGTCGTCCCTTTCACTTCGTCCCCTCCCACAAACCCATCAGTTTGCTTGTCCCAGTTCTCTGTGCGCATGCGCAAAAGTCCTTTGGGAGCCCTTGTAGTTCCAGTTTTCAGAGGTTGGGGGCGCGTATTGTCCGGCTTTGGGAGATTGGGGGCCTGCCCGGCGTTTGGCGGCGTACTTGGGAAAGGACGGGTGCCGAGGTGGGCCTTAGCCAGGGTAAAATTGCTTTACTTCCTAGATCTGAGCCTTGGCGGCCAAACGGTAGCGAATGTGAGGACTTGTTTTAAAGTTAGTCATTTTCAGGATTCTTGTTTTTGTCATCAAAGAATCGGAAAATCCAGTTACGGAAGGGAGCTAACAAATTATGTGTCTAGTGAAGTGTACTGAGCGCCCTAATGTGCTTGAGGGAAAATGGGTAAGGAGACAAATTAGGGGAGACGTGGTGGTAGAAAGCTACATTGAGTAAGATGCCATTTAACGTGGGCCTTGAAAATCGAATAGGGGTTTATAAGACAAGTAAGACAAGACTAATTAAAAAAAGCAAAGACACACAGGCAAGGGTGTTCTGATGCCTCTGAATGGTCAGCCGTGACTAGAACAATGACTTAACGTTTTTGACACACCATTTCCTCTAAGAACGATGAAGGCTGTGGATGAGCTTCCCAGGAAGATACATGCACATGGCAAGACATTTTACGTGTAATTTTGTTGGGAAATTGTGAAAACACCTTGAAATGGCCAAGAAAAGAAATACTGGGTATCTTGTCTAGCTCACTTCCAGGTTATCTCCTTCATTGTCATTGAGCTATTTTACATTTATGGAAGTTGTAGAAAATGATTATAATGGAAATTAGTCTTGTAATTAATTTTGCAATTATTGCCCTAACCATTTTTGCATATATTAACAAATTCCTTTAAGTGTTCCTGATTGTTTATATATTTTAATTCTCCTTTGAAGTAGTTTTTTTTTTTTTTTTTAAGATTTATTTATTTGACAGAGAGACACAGCGGGATAGAGAACACAAGCAGGGGGAGTGGAGAGGGAGAGGCAGGCCTCCCGCCGAGCAGGGAGTCCGATGCGGGCTGGGATCATGACCTGAGCCGAATGCAGACGCCCAATGACTGAGCCACCCAGGTGCCCCTGAAATAGTTTTCTTTTTAATATAATATTTTTAAATTTATTTATTTATTTTAAGTAGCCCTCACACCCAGCATGGGTCTTGAACTCACGACCCTGGGATTGAGTCTCATGTTCTACTGACTGAGCCAGCTAAGCGCCCCCTCCCCGAACCAGTTTGTAACATCTAACTTGTTCCTTGATTAATTACTGAAATGTTTGACATATACTTATTTTATATTAATTTATATTTAAATTTTGTTTTTTAAAATCTTTTAACAATTTCACAGAATTCACAAGAATGTTTGAAACTCACCCAAAATTCCATGGACTTTAGGTTAAGAATATCTGAGTCAGAACATAGAATGCATCATGACAGGCTAAAAAGGTTCTACTAAAAGGTAGGCAAATATGAGGGAGTCAGACTTAACAGACTCATTTGCTTACCCAAGCTTGTTTTTACTCAGCTAGTTTTGACCAATTCACTTGATCTTTAAGTCTCTGTTAAAAAAAAAAAAAAAAAAGTGGAAGAAACCACCTAATTGTGTTTGTGAGGATTTAAAACAATATATGTAAAGTAACTGGCATTGTTACACAGTACTTTGTTTAAAGCCCCTGTTTAGAAGCCAGTTAGATGTCCCTGACTCCAACAGTTTTTACACTTGTTATAAGAAGGTGCTAAGGAATTTTTAGGGTTGAAAGTTTTAACATTAAAATCATAAAATTAGGTCTGTGTTTTAGACAAGTTACACAGCTTATGAGAAGGATAAATGACTTCTAGAACAGTTTATAAACTGTTCCCATATTATAGTGACACTCGTGGAAAATACTGGAGGGAGATAAAAGCCATTCCAAAAGTTGAATTGGTAGGACTTAGTGACAGATTGATAAATGATAAAATGGTAATAATGTTACATTTTATCAAGTGTGTGAGAAAGTAGACTTATAAGATCAAAACTGACAAAAGTAACTTCCTGATTCCGCCCCCCAGCCTTTCCACTGGGAAGGTAAATTGTACCATATCTTGTTACTTTGTGTTAATCAAATCTTCCTTTTATATATATAAAGGTATATTTGATTATCTACAGAATATATTTCTTAAGATCACAGATTGCAGACATATGTTAGGCGCACTAGGCAAGAGTTTTAGAACTTAATTTTCCAAGTCACAAAAATAACCCTTAAGTGAGGGAAGGAAGGAAGGTCTCTGAGATGAGAATGATGGAAAAAAAATCCGATTTCAGGAAAATTTTTATTTTCTGTGCTTCTGTCCTCTTATTTCCTTAGATGGTGGCTCTAACAAGGAAAGGAATTGGAGAGCTGGTTGTCTGTCCTTTATAATTTGTGGAGGCAAAAGGGAAAGTTAGCATTGGATCCTGCTGTATTGATAATTTGTAGCTTCCATTTGTATTTTATTTATAAACATCTACCCCGTTTCAAAACAACTTGAAATGCCTAACACTTTGCAGTATGAGATCCTTTTAAATACGTTAATTATTTAACAAACATTTAGGTTGTGATCAAGCTAAAGTCCCTGCCTTCATAGTTTTTGCATTCTAGTGGGGTAGACATAATGAAATTATAATGACAGGTAGCAACAAGAGGATACAAAGTGGTAACGGAATGGGTAGTGTTAAGATTGTCAGAGCAGAAATGTTTCAGAGTGAGTGAAAGAAAGGCATCTTTGAGAAAGTGACATTTATAGAGACCTGAATGAACAGAGAAGTAATCCCTACAGATGTGGTGGGAAGGGTAAAGAGAACAGCAAGAGCAAAGGCCTTGAAATGGGAATGGCCTTAGCACGTTTGAGCAATGGAATATCATAGTTGGAGTGAGCCTGTTGGAAGGAATTTTAAGAAATGAAGTTAGATATCCCCAGGCCAGATCGAATAGTGCCTGGTAGGCCACAGTAAGGACTTTGGATTTTGAGTATAAGAAACCTTTGGAGGATTTTTTTCTGAGAGATTGACATGCTCTGATTTACATATTTAGATGATTATTCTGGCTACTGTCTAGAGAATTGATGATAATGAGAGAAGAGTAGAAACAAGCACAAGTTACAGTGTACTTGCAGTAGTTCAGGCAAGACACAATGATACTGAGGACCAAGTGGTTGTGATAAAAGAAATAAAAGGTATCATTCAGAATATGTTTTATAAAGGTAGACCTAACAGTGCTCCTGGATTTGTTGTGGCGTATGACGAAAAGAAGGATTTCGGAATTTTGGGCTCTCAGCAATATTGTGATTGGTGTTTTCCAAGATGGGGAAAACAAGGCAAATTTAGATTTGTTAAAATTTCAGAGTTCATGTTAGCCATTTTAAGAGAAATACTTAAGGTAAATAAGTGGAGATGTCAAATGGACAGTTGAGTATTGGAATTGAGGGAACTAATGGGAGAAGTCAGTGCTGGAAAATACAGATTTGTGAAACATCAGCATGGAACTAGGGAGCTTAAAGTCAGAGACTCTCATAAAGGATATGTGTGGAGATAAAAAGGGAACCCAGGACAGAATGCAATTCTGGGTAGCATATAAAGGTAGAGCAAAGTAGGATGGTCCAGAAAAGGAAATTGAGAAGGAGGAAAACTCTCCTGGAAGCCAAAGGAAGAAAATGTTTTCAAGGAGGGAATTTAACTGCAGATACTGCTGAGGGGTCCAGTAAGTAGAGATCACTGTTTTCAGTTTCACTAGAATGGTGGAAAGGGAAGCCTGACAGGATGGGTTAAAGGGAGAATATGGGGTGAGGAATATGGTTATTCAGCACTAAATGACACCTAATTGTTTTTTTTGAATGATTAATTCTGATGAGTAGCTCCAATTTATATGCATATCAATAAATCTTTACTTGCATATTTTCCAAAATTGGCACTTGGTCAATCAACTGCAGCCTGTTTTAAAAGTGCCAAAATACTCTTCCGTTGATTTTGGTGAGAATACAAGTTTAGTTGGAGATTTGAAGTGGAATGCCTTAATGGCTTTGTACTCTATTACTGGATGTCACTTTGAAACACATTTTCTATGTGTCACTCTCTGCAGCATTGCTGCTGGTGTGACTGATTCTGGCTGACAGCCTGTAGGGGTCCAGATAGGCTTTGATACTATGTTTACGGCGTGTTAAAGAAGGATACAAGGCAGGGACGCTTGGGTGGCTCAGTGGGCTCAGTGGGTCCAGCATCTGCCTTAGGCTCAGGTGGTGATCCCAGCGTCCTGGGATCAGGTTCTGCATCGTGCTCTTTGCTCAGCAGGAGCCTGCTTCTCCTTCTGCCTGCTGCTCCTGCTGTTTGTGCTCTCTCACCCTCTCTATCTGTGACGAGTATGACAAATAAATAAAATCTTAAAAAAAGAAGAAGTTTACAAGGCAGAAGAGATAGTAGGGACAGCATCTTCATCTCATCTGGAGTCCCAACGCCAGCACTTACACAAACTCCACGATTAATCCAAATCTACTTTTCCCCCCTTTACCTACAACAAACATGTGTGACTCACACAGATAAGGGCCAAAGTGGTTTTAGGTCACCTGGATATGTAAAAGCCTTAGCCCCTATTTCCCACAGATCTCGGATGTCATTCTGGTTGCATAGGTTCAAGGCCTGCATACCAAGAGTGGCTCCCACCGTGATGCAACAGAGGAGACAGAAAAAACTCTCTCCGTATGTCTTAACTCTCCTGCGTCCATGAAAACCATATTATGGGAGCCTGGGAAATACAGTATGGGAAAACCATGTTTAGGGGTTTTTCTCAGGCAGACCTGCACCATCTCAGGCCCTATGTTAAGCCTTTGTTCATTTACTTATTTTTGTGTATGTACCTCTAGCGATTCAGTGAAGATGACAATTCATTCAACAAATTTTTGAGTGACTGCTCTGTGCCAGGGAATGGGAATGCATCAGTAAACAAACAGACAAAAACCTGATTTCATTAATTTTACATTCTAGGAAGGAAAAAGAATAAATAAAATTGTACAATAATGTTAGAAGGTAAGTGTAATGGGAAAAAATAAGGGAGATAAAGAGTATCTGTCCAGAAATTTCAAGTTTTAAATATGGCTGTGGTAGACTTCATTGAGGTGACATTTGAACAAGACTTACAAGTAAGGGAACAAGCCATGTTATCTAGGGGTTAAGTGTTTGAGTGAGAACAGCAAATTCAGAAGGCCCTCAGTTGAAGATTTGCCAGCTGAATTTTAGGAAAAGCTAGATGACCCGTATGGCTAAAGCTGAGGGAACAAGAAGAGGCATGCAAAGTGACTCAAGGAAGGGCTTGGGAATTGCTGTCCAAGAAACACTGGGATGGGAAGGTCCCCTGGAAAAGAAAAAGCTTACCATTGAATTCTGCTTCTAGTGAACAGAAATTAACAGTTAAGGAGCACCAAGCTGGCTCAGTCAGTATAGAGCATGGGGCTGTTGATCTTGGGGTTGTAAATTAAAGCCACACTTTAGGTACAGAGATTACTTAAAAATAAAATCTTGGGGCACCTGGATGGCTTGGTTAAGCATCTGCCTTCAGCTCAGGGCTTGATCCTGGGGTCCTGAGATTGAGCCACGCATCGGGCTCCCTGCTAAGCAGGGCACCTGTTTCTCCTTCTGCCCCTCCTCTTGCTCATGCTTTCCTCTCTCAATCTTGAAAAAAAAATACCACAACTATTCAATTACATAAATAAAGTCTTTAAAAAAAAATCAAAAACAAGAATCAACTTATTTCATTGGAGATTGTATATTTAAAAATGTGACACCTTTTTTGAGTTTATCAAGATGGAGAATGTCTAAATCCCTTAATCTTACACTTAATGACTTAAAGTATAGTTTGGTCAGATATAAAGAGATTTTATACTACATGAAGATAATCTGGTCCTACCGTATAGAGTACATCAAAAACTATGATTTATGATGTAGGAGGCAATTTAAAACTAAAAACAAGGCAAAGGAAAAGTAAACAGGTAAGAAACATAAAAAGATAAAAAAACTTAAAAACCACAAGGCTAATTGCAAGTGTTACCCCAAAGTTTGTCCTTAGCCAGCCAGCTTTGTCTATTAAGCCCTCGGGCAAATTAAAGGCTAATCTGAATATTTTCCTGTATTTTCTTTTTTCAGTGAACAGGAATGGAAACTGAAAGTGGAAATCAAGAAAAGACAATGGAAGAAGAAAGCAGTGAAAAGAAAAAAGAAGTAGAAAAAAAGAAACGGTCCCGAGTTAAACAAGTGCTTGCAGATATTGCTAAGCAAGTGGACTTCTGGTTTGGAGATGCAAATCTTCACAAGGATAGATTTCTTCGAGAACAAATAGAAAAGTCCAGAGATGGATGTAAGTTTACTTCACTGTAAAATGGCACCAGTTTATAGATACTAACAGTGTAATATTACCATGCCATGTACTGAATGGCATACATTTTATACATTATGGTTTTCTTCCACATGAAAATTATAGCTCATTTTAGCCTTTAAGGACAGACATTTGTGGGGTTATCTGATGACATTCTAAAGTTTGTGTGGTGGAGCTCCTAAAAGCTCATGGTTAGGTAAGAGTATGTGACAGTCTACGTATCTAGAGAGGCAGATTTAATTACCAAAATGCATTTGAACTCCGGTTTAGCATATATACATTCTGTATTAACTTTTGCATTTGTTAGATGTTGATATATCACTCCTCGTGTCTTTCAACAAAATGAAAAAATTGACTACAGATGGAAAGTTAATAGCCAGGGCACTGAAAAGTTCATCTGTTGTGGAGGTAAGAATTGTTACAGTACAATTTATTGTATCACAATCATATTAGTTTAATAAAATCCATAAAACATAATCACCTCATGTGCCCGTTTCAAAGCTGGACTTAGAAGGCACCAGAATCAGGAGAAAAAAGCCACTGGGTGAACGACCAAAAGATGAGGATGAAAGGACAGTGTATGTGGTAAGTAAGCCATTTAAGAAGAAAAGTTCAGGGCTGGCGATCGCAGTAAAAGAAAGACAGAAACATTTTTATATTACAAATAAAAATTTATTGACCTTGAGAAAGTACTTATATTTAATATTGCTTCTAATTTATTGTAGGAATTACTTCCCAAAAATGTTAATCACAGCTGGATTGAAAGAGTATTTGGGAAATGTGGCAACGTTGTTTATATAAGCATACCACATTATAAATCTACTGGAGATCCAAAGGGATTTGCCTTTGTGGAATTTGAAACAAAAGAACAAGCAGCAAAAGCTATTGAGGTAGGTCCAGAACCTAAAAGGAAAAGCAAAAAAATTAGCAAGTGTTTCAGAGGAGTAACAAAATTGGTTGGTTTTAATTTGTTGATTTTTCAGTTTCTTAACAACCCACCAGAAGAAGCACCAAGAAAACCTGGTATATTTCCTAAGACAGTAAAAAATAAGCCCATTCCTGGGCTTCGAGTATCAGGTAATTAATATTATTTAATTTTTAAGTAAATGTAGTTGAAGGAAAATGAAAACTAATGATAGTATTGTTACAGAAGAAAAGAAAAAGAAGAAGAAGAAAAAAGGCCGAATGAAGAAGGAAGACAATATCCAGACCGAAGAGTCAAATATGGACACAAGTAAGGAGAGTGTAGGTAAAATGAAAAGATCCAGGACCACATCTGAGGGATCAGAAGTAGAAACAACTGAACCCCAAAAGCCACCCTCAAAAAAAAAGAAAAAACGGGAAAGACAGGAAGTATCCAGCTTACCTGTAGTCAGAACAGGGAAGAGGAAGAGAAGTGTATCTGAAGAAGCAGAATACCCAACTCCCAGGTCAAAAGTAAAGAAAATTACTCAGAAAGACAACATTAAAAAAGAAGAAGTTTCCAAAGAGAGCAAAGGTATGACAACTTTAAGGTAAATGTTAGTAAGATGAATAAAAGGTTCTTACATGTAAACTTGTGTTTATTTTTTGATATTTTAAAAATTAAGATTTGGAAGTCTCTACTGAAGAGGAAAAGGATGCTGGAGATGTAAAAGATGGATCCCTTTTAAAAGCAAAAAGGAAGCATAAGAAAAAACACAAAGAGAGGCACAAAATGGGAGAAGAGGTTATACCATTAAGAGTCCTTTCAAAGTAAGTAGATGACACAATTCTGATGAAAATTGACCCTCTCCATCACCATTGCTAAAGTGCAATTCCAATTTGTATTGAACAGAGTTGCATATTAGCAACAGTCATGGCATGTAGCCAAGATCTGCAGATTGTGGGTTTAAGGTAACAGAATTAAAAAGGAACCACCACACTAAAACATGGAAGCACTTATTTTCAGCATGTCACAGCAAGTGCCTCCATGTTAAAGTAGAGGGTGTTCCTTAACAGACTTAAAAATAAAGCTTAAATATACCACAGACTGGCAGTTCGGTGAGGGACTCTTGTTAAAATGTAAAAGTAAGACTTACCATCACTAAAACATGGAAGCACTTACTTTTTTAGTTTCAAAGCAAGTACATCCACGTTTAAGTGGTGGGGAGCCCAGTCTTGGAGAAAACGTGAATCATTAGTATTCTTTAACCTGTAAAGCAAGGTTTGAGATAAAACTGTGTCCATTTGGAGACCCCTCCACTGAAACATGGAAGCACTTACTTTTGTTTTACACAGCAGGTACCCCCATGTTAAAGCAAAGGGGAATCCCCTTGGGCTCTATCAATGACTTGCCATATTACATTAGGAGGAAGAATTTGGGTTCACTTCTACTAAAACATGGAAGCACTTACTATTTTAAAAGTCAAAGAAAGTACTTCCATGTTAAAGTTAAAGGGAGTCCAATCCACTCAAGGGGTGGAAGCCAAGGAAAAAATAAAAGAGAAGAAAAATACCATACCTTTGGGAAGAGAGTTTTTCCTAGCTCTCCTGAATCGTACTCCCAAGTGTCTGTCTTCCTCTTGAAGGTTAAAAGGCAAGGACTTCAGGCACTTGTATTTATACTATTCTTAACTGCTGAATTCCTTTTGCCTTTTTATCTCAGAGAATCATTACAAGAGGTTTTTGTTATTCTAATGTATCAGCTCTCAGGGAATGTATGATCCTGGGTGGGTCTGGATACTTTTTTTTTTTTTGAAGTATACAGATGTCAATAATAACTGCTAAGACCATTACCACAAGATATCCTCCTCTTTAAAAAAAAAAAAAAAAAGGCCCTATCTGCTTGTTTGATGGCATAGATTAGAGTAACAATGAGTGCGCCTGTGGAGCCTGGAGGGGCATTGTGTTTCTATCTGGGGAAGCTCTAGCTGTTTGAAGAAACATCTACATGTTAAATATATGTAAATAAATAAAATGCTTCCATGGGGTGTTTTTTTCTTCTTAGAAATTCCTTTTGATTCAAGTAAATAATAAGGAATGTTCTCTCTCTCAAATTGGAAGCAGTTTAACAAATAATCTTTAAATTATAATCGGCCATTATTCCCCCAAAGATGACTAATTGTTACTAGCTAATTAATTCAAAGCTTTTGTTTTCATAAATAGAAACATTTGAAGCATATTCAAGAATTGAATTGCCAAGTTTAAAACATTAATCTCAATGTTGGGTCAGGGGAAACTAAACTCCCCTTTTCATATTTCCTGGATCACTTAGAACTCAAGAAGTAATTTGAATGTTTGTGTTTAAAGAAGGAAAAGTTAGAAGTGGTTACAAGACACTGTGAATGTATATATTTAGATATTTTTATTTGCTCATCTGTGTTCACTACTTCAAAAGTACGTTCTTTTCATTACAGGAGCGAATGGATGGATTTGAAAAAAGAGTATTTAGCACTGCAAAAAGCCAGCATGGCTTCTTTAAAAAAAACAATATCGCAAATAAAATTGGAGTCAAAAATGGAAACAAACGGAGTACCTACTACGTCTGAGATAAAAAATGAAAAAAGTAAACAGCACTATGATAGTTGTAGCATTATATTATATTTATATACTGACATACTATTTCTGAATTATTACAGGATAAATCTTAATTTTTTTAGTATATGTGCTGCCGAAGCGAGCACCAAATCTTAATTTTTTAAAACCTTAAATATATAATGGTAGTTATTAGAGGAATTACTGATTTGTCATGGTATCCCAAATGTGCTTTTTATGCTTGATATAAGAATATTTGAAATGGTTGTTATAAAATCTTTTTTCGTGGCACCTGGCTGGCCCAGAAGAGCATGCGACTCTTGATCTCAGGGTCATGATACATTGGGTCATACAGATGACTAAAAAAAAAATAGTGGACTTAAGGTATCTTTTTTACTGATTTAAGTTTGCATTCTTAATCATGTTTAGTAATGAGTACCTAGTTTATGAATTGAGCAAGTTTATAGCAACAAAAATTGTATTTTCTCATCTGTAATTTTATCCTAATATATTAAGATGTATTTTGAATTCTTATAAGTTGAAAATACAAATTTTCACATTTTAATCATAATGTTTGCAGAATATTTTACATATTATTCTGTTTATTTCTTTATTAAGTAAAGTGCTTTATTATTCGGTTAAGGGAAATGGGGCAGGTTTTCTTATTTGTTTAAGGTTTTACAAGTGTTCCTCTAACTACACTTTGCAATTAGAGTAATAAAAGTTTTGGTATTTATTTCATGCTAATCTGCAATAAGCAGTATGGCATCCAGCATAATTTAGTAAATTACTTATTTTACAATTAAATTTAAGTTAAGTAAATTTGAATTATTTAAATCAGCCTAAGAAATCATTGTTTTTATTCTCAAGTGGGCCTACTAAGTATTAAATTATTAAGTGTAAGAGGCTTATTTCTGGTCTTTCCTTTGCAAACCAACAGCAAACAGTGAAGAGGGTTGTCCCCAGGAAAAGGTTAATGCAGCAGGACCACAGTTTGTGAGTGGCGTGATTGTGAAGATCATTAGCACTGAGCCTCTACCTGGCAGGAAACAAGTCAGGGTAATGCTTTTGTGTGTCAAGGGTAGTTGTTGCTCTTTCCTTTTTAAAATTTACTCGTCTGAAAATGTTTTGCATTATAGAAAACAAAATCAAATTAGAATTTATTCCTCTGGAAAAATACTTCTAGGATTTGATTCCACAGTAACTCTTGTGTTTGACTTGAAGCAAAATCTGCAGTATGAAATTCTTCACTGGATCAGATTTTGCAATGAGTACGGTTGAAACATCTTTCTGTAGAACTGCACTTTGTGCTTATTTTTCTTGGTGCCCTTAATGGTTGACTGTTGTGTAGTTGAATGAACAGGCCTTACTGTGGTCATTATAACTTAAAAGAATAAAAATAGTAAAATGCTGTCATAATATTACTTATTTAGGGGACATTATCTGTTTTCAGAGAAAATGGGTTTTAGAAAATACTTAATGTCAAAACTTTTTGAAGATTTAATCAACATTACAGTTCATCTGAAATTATTTTAAACTTTTAATCATCTGCTATTGTCTGATTTTTGTAGCAAACTAAAGAGTTTGTAATTTGTTTTCATTAGCTTTCAATAGATTCTTAAAAGATTTGTGACCTAAAAAAAGTCAGAACTATTTTCATATAAAAGGGATAATATGCTTATTTTTAATTTACCATAAACAATTTTTGTCTGTTAGTCCTCTTGGAAATTGAGAAATTTTTTTCCTGGGAGAAATGCAGGATTTTTTGGAGAAAAGAGCTTTTGTTAATTTTATTTTTAAAATGTTGTATTTTCAGTTTGTGCTGTTTTAAAAATGTGAAACAATTACAGAAAAGTTAAAATATTTTGAAAAGCTAAAAAAAATTTGTTTGGGTATGCAAATAGAGTTTTACATAATTTACAAATTACTACATTTATTGCTCTACAATCTTTTTTTACTTACATATTTTATCTTCGAACAACCTTTTGTACCAACAAAACATATTTCATTCTTATTGACACATTCCTGTGTAAAATGTCCTTTGGCATAGCAAATATATTTAAAATTGTTATACTGACATTCATCATCATGCAGTATGTTTTGGGTTTGCATAGACTCTTACCAGTCACGTTTTTTAACTTGCATAAATGAGGTTTCTCACTGTAATTATCTTGTGAACACTCTATCTAAAATTCTGTTTCTATCCTGTAAAATCTTGTAGCTATCACTAACATAAATTTAGATTGTGTTTATGATACTGATGAGGGATTTGGCGGATCCAAATTGGTATTACCAACTTGAATTTCAGAGTATGGTAGCAATATAGAATTTCAGGTCAGAAGGATTAAAAACTGAGGATGTAAATGATGCTGTGGTTAGTCAAGTTGCAAAAGATTTAAAAATAAAATTAGGTAAAGTTTGCTCTTCGGAATAATTGTCATAGACTTTAATTATATTCACCAAAGATCTTTTTATTATCTAAATAGTATATCAATTAAACATTCTTCATTTATCATCATCAAAATCAACAAAAACTGAGTTATGATGATTTACTGTTGTCTGACTTGCCCTTGTGATTACCAGGCTAATTTGTCTTTTAAAGAAGGGTTTAGTCAGGAGATTAGCCTAACATAGTGTATATCGTAAATACCTTTTGAATTGTAGTAATCTATCTGATAAATCAATTACAGAACTTACTATTACCACCTAATACATCAGATTTCGTCAACTTGATACCAATTTGTCTTGCTTTGTGTCTAAATTTAGTACGTAAGTATATAGGGAAATGGGAAGAATTGGCAAGTATATTTCTCTCCAGTTACCTTATTTTTTCATTGAAGTAGCAATCATTTATTAAGTGCCTACTTTGAGATAGGCAGTATGCTAAGAGTAGGGATGAGTTAAGACTTAGTCCCTGGCTTTGTAGGTTTTTATTGCTTATTCTTTATTATTAACTAATAAACTTTTCTTGTTTTATGATCAAATATTTTCACCTATTGCTCAGTTTTTTCTGTAATTCAGACTTTAAAAATCTAACATCTAAAAGTAATCTAAATTCCTTGTGGCTTGAAATTTGAGTCAAAAAGAAAGGAAGCCAGATGGGTAGGCAAAACGTTTTTTTTAAACTGGGAATCTCCAGTAATTTCTTTAGCTTTCTGAATGGAAGTTGATGAAGAATTATGTAACATTCCTGCATAATTGCGTTGTTTACACCTAAGAACATGCTGGGAAAAAATAATTAGAAATGCAGGAATCTCGTTAATTTGCCCTCACAGCAGGCATTATAGGTAAAACTTCCTTGCTGCCTGACCACTACTTGTTCAGAGGAGATTCTTCAGGTATTTCATCAGAAAGTATGATGAGCTCTTTGGGCGCCTGGGTGACTCAGTCGTTAAAGGTCTGTCTTGGGCTGAGGTTATGATCCCAGTATCCTGGGATCGAGTCCCGCATCGCGCTCCCTGCTTAGCGGGAAGCCTGCTTCTCCCTTTCCCACTCCCGCTGCTTGTGTTCCCTCTCGATGTGTCTCTCTCTGTCAAATAAATAAAATCTTTAAAAAAAAAAAAATAGAAAGTATGAGCTCTTGAGTTATAATCCCAGAGATCTACTCGGGAACCTAGAATTTTTGTAGGTTCCCAGGAAACTTTTTCGTGAGTCAAAAAAGTTTAATTTTTTTCATTTTAGGTCATAAGTGATTTTGTATAGATGAGTGTAAACACCTTGTCCACCAATCCATTGTGGGTTTTTTGTTTTTTAATTTCATTCATTGTAACTGCACTGAGACTTGGAACCCTCTTATCTGTCATTTGGGGGAAATTACTTGTATATTCTGCTCTACAAATCTGTTGTCCTTGTGCAGTTGTTCCCATTCTAGTTAATATTTTAGGATTGTGCTTGATTAAAAGAAAGTTATGATTAGAGTTCCCAACTTTGTTCAAGTCAGTTTTTAAGAGTATTTGTGTGTGTTTTACCTGTACCTGGCCGGCTCAGTCAGTGGAGTGTACGACTCTTGATCTTGGGATTTTGAATTCGAGCCCCACGTCAGGAGTAGAGATTAGTTAAAAATAAAAAATCATTAAAAGATATTTGTGTATATTTTAGAAGAAATGTTAACGTGGATAGTCAATCCTCATTTTAAACTGTATATGGCTGACTTATATAGTACATTCTGTCACAACCATGGGAATAATTTTAGGATTATTGTGAAACTTTTTTATTTATTTAAAGTCTTTCTAAATTCTAATGCAGGATACTTTGGCAGCAATCTCAGAAGTTGTTTATGTTGATTTGCTAGAAGGAGATACAGAGTGCCATGCTAGATTTAAAACTCCTGAGGATGCTCAAGCTGTAATAAACGCATATACAGAAATTAAAAAGAAACACTGCTGGAACCTCGAGATCCTTTCTGGTAAAAACTCATAGAATCTTTTTTTTTTTTTTTTAATAATTCTTATCTAGGGGTGATTGTGTTGTATTTTCTGAGTTTGGCTAGTAAGATTAGTTTAATTTTCATATTCTGATATGCATAAAGTAGTATTAAATATAATCAGACAACTACAGTTTTTTTATTGAAATGTGATTAATGCCTTGAATACATTTCTTCATATGTATCAGTGATTGTCGTTTTTTGTTTTTAAGGTGACCATGAGCAGAGGTATTGGCAGAAGATTTTGGTAGATAGGCAGGCCAAACTTAATCAGCCTCGTGAAAAGAAAAGAGGCACTGAGAAGGTAATTCATTTTTTGGTTATTGTTGTTGTTCAGTAGCCTAAATTCAACATTCGCTTGAATGTTTTCTGAAAGTCAGTAATGTGTAGCCCTAAAATAACCTTGGTTTTGCTAGACACAACAAAGATTTACCTGGTATATACTGCATTTTAGATTGTGAGAGAATACTTGTTTTTTTAGATTTTGAAATACATGAAATCAGAATTATTTTCCCCATAGGGGTGCATAATTTAGAGTTTTCTTGTTTTTTTTACTGTAACTAGCGGTGGCAATTTAAACAGTTTTGATTCTTGCTACTGTGTTTTGTAGTTTGGTAGTAAATGATTATTTCAAGATTGTCTTAATGGTAAAACACAACATATTTGAGAGTGTAGTTTTTAAAGATAGGAGCCTCCACAGATAATACTGGGAAACTTTATGAATAAAGTTTGCTGTAGCAATGATAAGCTTAATTCCTTTTTCTCTAGAATACTCAACAAGTGAAGGAAACAAGCTTAAATACATGAAATAATTTAAAGCAAGACTGTCAGTAATTTTGTTTTAAATGACACTGAGTAATTTATCATACTTACTGTTGCTTGTGAGCTGTAACGTTTATTCTTTTAAAACATTATTATATGTGTAAAAGATTAGTACATCTTTAAGTGCTTAGGACAAATTTGGGCGCATAAAAACTAATACTATTATCAAAATTTTAAAATGCTTAGAAAAATATCAAAAGTTATGCATTCTTCTATGATATATTAGCACTTAAAATCATACTTTCTGTATTTGAGGTTTGTTTTAGGATTCTAATTCTATTTTTGTTTTATTACATAAAAATCTAGTGCCTTTTCATCAGCCTTACATTGCCTAGGATTCATTGGAATTTAAGATTATTTGGGTGCGGGGGAGGTTTCCTACTGGTCTTTGTTAATTCTGTTTGCATGAATACAGACTGAATTTGCTGATATGTGGGAAGGCCTCCTTCCTCCCTAAAGACTCATTCAGGTCTATGAGGTGTTAATTTCAAAGCCTGCTTGAGATTATTTAAATGTTAAAATCATTGATCCAGAACTCACGACTAAAATGAAATCACTTTGTTAAATAATTGTTATCCTAATTGGTGTGAAGTTTCATTTAAGTTGTGTATGTTTTTAAAAGTAGGAATTAGTCATTTTGTTTTCCAGAAAGATCTGATCTCCATAAATTAAATTTAAGGCGAGGGAATAAACACTGACTAGGGAGTTTTATAAATTGGGTTGGAAAACAATGTATAGCTCTGTTATTCAGTTGGAAAGTTGTTTTCTGATCTCATTTATCTATTGTACCACCAAGCTTTTTCTTAGCATGATTTGTTTCATAAACAGTATAGGATCGTAGCTGAAACTATGAAAGTAGACTTCTATCACAAAGTGAAAATATGGCACCACACAAAGTAGGTATTGTACAGGCTTTTCAGAGGAGACAGTTAGTACGCAGTCGACTTTTTTGATAATTTATTTAATTAATATTTTTGGAGTGCTCATTTTTGTTGCCCACTGTTCTAGGAACTGGGGATAGAGCCAGGAGTAACACAGTTCCCTGGTTTCATGAAGTTTACAGTTGGAACAGTTTAGGACAGGTGATGACAGGTATTGTGTTGAATAATCAAATTAAAGGGTATCATGAGATAGCTTTCCATCAGGTGAGGTTGTCCAGGAAGTTCTCTGAAAGTGACATTAAGACACACCTTAGGAAAGTGAGCAAGCAAGCCAGAGATTTTAAAGGCACAGCTTTCCAGGCACAAGCAGCAGAAACTGCAGAAGCCTTGAAGGGAAGGAGGCTATTATAGCTGGAATGCTGGGAGTAAAGCACCTTATTAAAGGGAGTTAAATATTTAGAAAAAAATTTAGCAGCTGAAAGTATGACATTAGCACTTTTCTCATACGACAGCTTTACGTTTCCACAGTAATGTTACATTACTTGGTCCATAATTGAATTAAAGAAAAGCACTGATAATAAATCCTGGTTCTTAATTTTCACCTTATGAAGCAGAAGGAGACTGGGGACAGTTTCCTAAGCCCCAATCAGTTTATACAGAATTAAAAGACAGAAAGAGGAATAGGTGAAGGAAAAAGTTATTCTTTGTGGGTAAAGACCTCTCAGAAAAGATAGTAAGATGAAGGAAATACCTGCCAGATAGGGTCTCACTCACTCTTGCTGGACCAAGCCTTTGTTGTCTTCCCTATCACTCTGAGCACATTGGTAAAATTAGATAACAGCTACTGGAAACAGAGTGAGTCTTTTCTCATTTGTCTTTATCTTTTAAAGCATATTTGAAATGTTTTTATCACCAAGGTCTTTTCGCTACAAATTACCCATAGTCAGATACTCAGTAGCAGGTAAAGGCAGAATTCACAAAATATGTGAACAGAGTTATATTTGAATTTTTTTGTTAAATACTTGTTTTTTTAACTTGTCAGGCCAGTCTATCTATAGACACTCTTTAACTTTTAAGTAAACTTTTAATGATTTAGTAAACATTTTAAGAAACTAAAAAATAAATAAAAGTGACTTCCTGCCAATGGCCACAGTCACCAAACACTTTAATGAACCTCTAGTGAATACTTAATTAGAATCTGTATTTTTAATAGAACAAGATTTTCATTTCTTCCAAAGCTACAGAAGACATTTAAAATTTTTACATCAAGAAAACTTTTGGAATATTTAGCCATCTTAAATGGTCTTCTACATTCCACATAATTTCATTTGCCTTCTTTAAAAATATTAAAAGGGCATCTAACTGGCTCACTCAGTGGAATGTGTGACTCTTGATCTTGGAGTTGTGATTTCAAGCCCCATGTTGAGTATAGAGATTACTTAAAAATAAAATCTCTTTTAAAATTTTTAAAAATGAGGGGTGCCTGAGTGGTTCAGTCGTTAAGCGTCTGCCTTCGGCTCAGGCTGTGATCCCAGGGTCCTGGGATTAAGCCCCGCATTGGGCACCCTGCTTGGCGGGGAACCTGCTTCTCCCTCTCCTACTCCCCCTGCTTATGTTCCCTCTCTAGCTTTCTCTCTCTGTCAAATAAACAAACAAAATCTTTAAAAAAAAATAAAAAATAAAATTAAAAAAATAAAGTATTTATGTAAGGGTATAATAAATAATAAGTACTCTTAATAGCAGATCCTTAGTTGGAATATTTTAATTTTCAAATTTGTAAGCAAACCTTTATGTAGCACTCAGCCCAAAATATACTGTCTTCATTCAAATAGTGATTACTCAAGTAATTAATACTCAAGCCCAAGGGGATATGAAACAACTAACAAATATGGGTGCTGAACCTTCCTAAAAGGTTAAAAATTTCCAGCATGGAGTGGTTGTTTTTAATTGAAAAATTCTCAGTGATGTGGAAGGAAAGTGGGAGTGTTTTAGTGATTCTAAGATTTAATATCTATTATACTTAATAAACCATAATCCTAAACAGTTCTCTCTGTAATTGATTTGGCCTGAGCTTAGTTTATCTCATTTGTCTACCTTTCTCTCTTTTAAAAAAATTTTATTCAAACTGATAGTTGTGAAATTTTTTACTCATGATTATCTTTTTGTTTTAGGTATACAATACATTATAATTTCTAATTTCTTTCTCCACAGTTAATCACCAAAGCTGAAAAGATTAGACTTGCAAAGACTCAACAAGCAAGTAAACATATTAGATTTTCTGAATATGATTGAGAACCGGTTTTGGGTCACCTCTTAAGATTTCACTGGACACTTGAACTTTTCTTAGGAAATCCATTTTATTTTGGTAGTAATAGTTTTTCTGAAACCTATGTTAATTGTTCTTTAATTTGTAAGTAAGACTTTTTCTTCAGACAAGTAAATTGTATACCACAGTTTTTCATTAAAAACATTTTATTTGCTGACAATATCTTATACAAATCGACCACAAAGTGATTTAGTAAATGTTTTGAACATTATCATTTAATTTTGTTTTTATATTACAAAAACAATAACATTTGCAAAAATAATACTACATAGTTTAGAAAAAATGACAATGCACTCACTCTACTTATTTTGTAATTTGTTTTTTCCTTTTCAAATATCTTTTCATGTTGATTTATACAGAGACTTATGTGTGATATTTCATTCTGTTTATTGCACTTTGCTTATCTGAGCTTCCACTGAATAGGCCATATGAACTATTTCCAATTAAAATGTTAAACTTTAAAAGTATTGAGTTTGTTTCTCATAAATGAGGTTAGACAAAATAAAATGTACCAGATGCTGTGAACACGGGGAGAAAAAAATCTAAGAATCAGCCTTAAGCATAACTGAACTCTCTTATCATTTTATTCAGAAAAATCTCAGACCTGGCATATTTAAGGCCTTCTGAGAACTGAACAGGGTCTATTCATGACTAGCATCTTAATCCCTTATAAGAATATCAGAAACATACTCTGGACAGCCAAGGGGTTTATTTCTTTGGGCTACAAACCATTTGTAGTTCCATCAGCTTTGTCCAGAAGTGGGCCTAATTTGGTCCCCGTTCTATGCATTGTGGAAGACCCAAAGTCAGGAAACTACTTCTGTGGGCCAAGGATTCTAGGAGATTGGCTACCTCAGTAGTAGGGATGACAGTAGCTTATTACTAGTAAAAGTAGGTATCTAGCAAGTTGCCATTGACTCCTTTTTGCTCTCTCCATGAAGGAAATCTAACAAGATCTGTAAATAGTTGCTAAACCTTATTATGAGGATTATGATCAAATATGCTTCATATGTTACAGAAGAATCAAAACTAGGATGTCTATTTCAAGGATTCAGTTGATATCAGTGAGGACTCTCTTAAGGTGACTTTGGAAAGGTTATCAAAATTTCAGAAATTTTCCCCTTGGCAGTTTTTTAAAACAAGATGAGTGCTCATTCAACAACTATCTTTGGCCACTTTTAGCACTTGGGAGATATTAGTGAAGCAAATCAGACAAAGATCCCTCTCTTCGTGGGCCTTATAGTCCAGCGGTAGATAGAGACCATAAACAAAAATAAGTAAAGTTACATACTTTGTTAGGTAACTCCTTAGGACAAACAAAAAAGGTGGAGGAGACACCCCATTTGTTTGTTTATTCTGTTTATTCTTTAATTCATTTAATTAAAGGAATATTTATTTAGCCCCTACTACATATTAGACACTGACACTATAGACTTTAGAGATAGAAGAAGAGGTAAGGTGCTCTGCCCTTGAGTATACAGCCTTGGGGAAGACAGATAAGCCAACATAATTATGATAGAATGTAAATGATATAAGTAGCTCCAGATGATCTGGGATAGTTCCTGAAAGCTAAGTCACAATTTTGAATGACCTTCCAAGGTTTCTGTGAACCTTTAATCTTTTGGGTGAGTGAATTTCCTTTTTATCCAACACTTAGCACATATTAACTGCTTAATAGATACTGTTTAGTTGAGTTGAACTGAATGTATGTTTCAGGTTGTTCCCCAAGGGCAGATGTTATGATTTACTTGCATGAGGGATACTTTCTTTCTGTACTTGATGATTCTCCTATTCACATTCCTTCCCCCCCCGTTTTTATTAAGTGCCTGCTTATGTACCTGTCTTTGTGCATTTCGGTGGGATTTGCTTTCTTAACTGCAAAACCAATTTTATTTAAGCACCTTGCATTAGCTCAGTATCGCTCACTCCTTGGCCATTGTCTGTTGTTAGTAGTTGTTGAACCTAAAGCACTTACCAGAGGTTATAATAGCTAGTCTGAGATTTAAGCTCAGTTTCTCTTACTCTAAAGACCACACATAACTGTAATACGTCCCCCTTTCCTACCCTCCCACCTTCTGTCCTTTCTTCCTTATTTTATTCATTCCAGCCAATGTTTTGCATCTCATGGTAGTGATATACTGTAGTTTATATAACCGTGCTTCCATTAAACTTGTAGTTGTCTGCTCTTTTTTACTACTAAGAGCAACGCTGCAGTGAACATCATGTCCTCCTGTGTTGATGTGTGTGAGTATATCTGCAGGATAGATTTCTGGAATAGGAATTGTTGGGGCAAAGATATCTTTTAGGGGCACCTGGCTGGCTCAGTTGGTAGAACATATGACTCTTAATCTCAGAGTCATGAGTTCAAGCTCCTCATTGGGCATGGAGCCTACATAAAATTAAAAAAAAAAAAGTTGCCTAATGTGGGGCTTGATCCCAGGACCCTAGGATCACTACCCCAGCTGAAGGCTGACACTTAACGAACTGAGCCACCCAGGCGCCCCAAAAGTTTATATACTGTCTGAAATAGTCCAAAATGGTATATAACTTCATTACCAACAATTACATTTTCCTTTTTAAAGATTTTATTTATTTGACAGAGACAGAGAGAGCAGTAACACAAGCAGGGGGAGTGGGAGAGGGAGAAGCAGGCTTCCCGAAGAGCAGGGAGCCCGATGCGGGGCTCTATCCCAGGACCCCAGGATCATGACCTGAGCCGGAGGCAGACACTTAACGACTGAGCCACCCAGGCACCCCTATAATACAGTTGTTATGTAAATATTTTATATTTTTACAGAGCCATGTCTTTTAATCTGCATTTAACAGAAAATTATTTCCCAGTCTGGGGCCTATGAGTCCTGCCTTCATTTCTTATTCTCTGATGTCCAGCAGATTGACATATAAATAGAAATCTTCTTGAGTTAGCATGAGGGAGTTTGTTTGCAGCCAGTACAACCTTAATTAAAGTAATACCTTTCTTTAAAAAATAAATCACACATTTTATTTTTTAAATACCTTGGGAAGTTTATAATGAGCAATTAGGATAAAAAAACTAGGAAAGAGTCACACTAGGAAAGAGTCCACACTGTCACTTTTACTTATTCCCCACATGTCTATTGACTTATTTAAAGATATCACAAACAAGGTTGTAGTTCATATAGTCACACAAGTCATGCACCACTGGTAGCATTTGCACAGACAACACTGTGAGGGTGTTCTTGGAGTTGTGTAGTACACAGTCTGCACACCATACATAACAAAAAACTAGCATTCATGTAAATTATCACAGTAGTACAGGTCTGAGGTGATCCAAACCTGGATACATGATTTGTATTGCAGACTGATCATCAGTGAAGTAAGGGCTTCAGGGACAGGAATTAGAACAGGGATTTCTAAATGTGGTCTGTCACCCTGAGATTTTGCAACCGTTATAGGAAAAACTTCTGTAGCAATACTTAGAACTATAAACATAACTATATCCTAAGTATCTACTGAAAGGTTCTAGAATTGCCTTATCTTGCCTAACCAGGGCTTAGTCTTAAAAGTGTCTTGGGGTGCTTGGGTGGCTCAGTTGGTTGAGCATCTGGCTCTTGATTTCAGCTCAGGTCATGATCAGGGTCATGAGATCAAACCATGTGTTGCGCTCCATGCTCCTCAGAGAGCCTGTTTGAGATTCTCCCTCCTCTGCCTCAGCCCCTACCTCCCATGCACGCATGCACACTCTCTAAAAAATAAATCTTAAAAAAAAAAAAACTTGTGTTTTGGGGGCACCTGGCTGGCTTTGTCTGTAGAACATGTGACTCTTGATCTTGGGGTCATGAGGTGAAGCCCACGTTGGGCGTAGAGTTTATTTTTAAAGTTTTTATTTATTTGTAAGAGAGAGAGCACAAGCAGGGGGAGAGCGGCAGGCAGAGGGAGAAGCAGTAGCAGACTCCTTGCGGAGCAGGGAGCCCAATGCGGGGCTCGATCCCAGGACCCTGAGATCATGACCTGAGCTGAAGGCAGATGCTTAACCAACTGAGCCACCCGGCTGCCCCTGGTGTAAAGTAAGGTATATCCTAAAATAATAATATCTTATAACTTTTATTTTCTTAAAATTCAACTTAATCTCTACTTCAGGCCTCACATCCCACAAAATTCTTAATCTCAGTAAATTTAGGGTTCTCTCCCTTTTTCTTAGAGTTGAATATGCATTCTAGGTGCTTACGCAGTACCAAGTGAGAGGGGCACGCATTTGTCTCCAGTCATATTATCTGAGAAGGCCATTATCCCAGTTAGTTCCAAGTCATTTGTTCATAGGTATCCCTGTTTCCTGCATACTTAGCCCCGTAGGACTCAAAAATCACTACAGAGCTTTTGTGATGTGCTGTGTAACTTGCCCAGTTCAGGGAGTAAACACTTGGTGATTGTCGATTCATTTCTCTTCACCTGTCAGAGTAAGGATAGATCAGTATGGGATCCAGCAACATATTTACAGAATAAGTATGCAAGACAGGAAAAATAAACAGAAAAAAGAATAAGTGTTCAAGAGCACATGAGAAATTGAATTATTTACTTTTTTTTTCTTTTTAAGAAGGCTCTACGCCCAGTATGGGGCTTGAACTCATGACCCTGAGATGAAGAGTCGCATGCTCTACTAACTGAGCCGGTCAGGCGCCCTTGCCCCTATTATTTACTATTCTTTGGCTGCAAGAAATAGAAAATAACTCCACTAGATTAAGCAAAAGAAAAAATTATTGTAAATATGTGGGAGACTTGTGAAATCTGGGTAAGTAGATGAGTAATAAGCCTCATGAGGTCCAGGAGGCCAGGCAGCTGTAGATTTCCTCCTGACATGAGTTTTTAAAGAGGCTACTTTGGATTACTGTTCAGTTGATTCAGCAACTGTGTTCTTCAGGCTCGTGGACTCTCAGTTTAGAATTCCCATTTCCCTGGGGAGACAGATTCTGATGACCAAGCTTGAGTCGGGTGCAATCTTGCATCAACCAATTATAATAAGTAGATACCCTGATATTCACACTAGGACTACAGGTTTGGCATTCATTCTTAAAAAGGGCAAAGGTTGTTAGCTGACCTTTGTTACCATCTAACCTGCTAATTCTTTTATATCAGTATAGTTAAGAAGAC